ACAAGCTGGAGCAGCACTTGGAAGCGGCTCGGTTGAGGGGCAGTCGCGAGAACATCGGGGGCATCAAGAAGATGTACGTCCTCGTGTCTCCTGGCAACGTCATGGCCAATCTTCCTCCAGCTCCAGCCGTGGGTGACGAAGCAGCGGGCACCTATTGCAAGTTGCCGCCTGAGCTGGAGGCCAAGAAGTGCTTTTGGAACCCAAGAACGGCGGACAACTCGTGCTTTGCCTGGTGCGTGAGAGCAGCTCTCCTTGGGGTGGAGAAGCTGGAGCGTGACAAACGCAAGAACTTGACGAGGCTCACCGACCCCATGCTGTTTGCGGAGGGCTATAGTCCGGTTCGCGGGAGGCGGAAGGTCAAGCCTGAGCTCGTGCCTTGCAACTTTGGCTTCGACTTCAGCGTCTTACCACCTCCAAGTAAGGGCGTGGGCTGGCAGGACATTGAAAACTTTGAGTTGGCCAACAACCATCGTCTCCGCATCTTTGTGTGGGAGTGGAGGAAGGTGGAGTGGGGCGGACGGACCTTCTTTGAGAGGCAGCTGATCAGAGAGCCAGTTCACCGCGATTGGCCAGCTGAGCGCGAGATCCAGCTGCTGAGGCACCAGGGACATTATGTCCTGATATGGAACTTCCAGGCCTTCATGAGCAGCCGAGGAGCCCATCTAGATGGGTCGCGGCGTGCTTCTCATGCATCCCTGCACACATGCCATCGGTGCCGTGCCAACTTTTCGACGAAGCAGAACCTGGAGACGCATCAGCAAGAACCCTGCAGCTTCGACCCCTCGAAGCGCGAGCCGGTGATCAGGATGCCGAAGACAGATGAGGTTTCGGTGCGCTACCAGGCGAGTTCGACTGCGGAGTGCGCTCCCCTTGTCATGTACATGGACCTCGAGGTTGCATCCGAGCCCGCGCCCACAGAGCAGCTGGCCAAGCACACTCACTGTGTGCAGGCAAACGTCCTCTCTGGTGCGTACCTGGCTGTTGGGCGAAATGGTTACAGACCTGAGCAAAGAGTCTTCCTTACCACCCGTGAAGTTGGCGAGCACCGCTTTGCAGCAACAGAACGCTTGCTGATGGGACTACGTCGCGAGGGAGAGCGCTACCTGCTCTGGAAGAGGTGTACCAACGTGCCGGCCAAGTTGAGCGAGGAGGAGCAGCAGAGTTTTGACGAGGCTACCCACTGCGCGAGGTGCAAGAAGAAGTTCGCGGAGGATCACCCCTCCAGGATGAAGGTGTGCCACCATCAGCATGGGACGGGACGCTTCATCGAGCCTCTGTGCAAAAGCTGCAATTCTAGGATCGTACAGCCCAAGACCGTGCCCGTGCTCCTGCACAACGGGGGCAACTATGACTTTCGGTTTCTCTTGAGCTCCATTGCTTGGTTGCGGCGCCGGTCTCAGGGCTCCTTGCCTTCAACCGCGGCGGATGGAGGGGATGACGAGCTGTACCAGGTCGAAGATCAAGATGATACCGAGGAGGAGGATGAAGACCAGCTTCCCCGCTCAGATGTGGAGGACGCTATGGCTAGCAAGCCCTGGCACAAGCTGAGGTTTTCCGTGCTCTTCAAGTCCGGGGAGAAGATCCTCTCTTTTCGCTTGGGGTGCCTCTGCTTCACGGACTCGATGAACTTCTACAAGGCGAGCCTGGCTTCGCTCATGGATGACCTACAGAAGACTTTGCCGAATTTTTTTCAGCACATGGCCCAGCTGCATCCCGAGCTCCAGCCGAAAGCCCTAAGCGTGCAATGCCTTGGTCCAGGAAGGCCTCTGCCCTGAGACCCCGGACACTGCTGAGGCTCTTCGTGTGCTTCACCCTGAGCAGCCTGCTGTCTCTGTTAACGCCTCCGCCTTGCCCCTTGCCCAGGAGGTGTCGCCCGATGAGGTTGCCAAAGCCCTGCGCGCGTTCCCTGTTGACACGGCTCCTGGGCCTTCTGGACTGCGAATCCAGCACCTTCGTGAGGCCCGTCAGCCGGGGGAGACGTTGGCTCTTGTGCAACTGGCTGCGGTCGTCAACCTGCTTGCGCGTGGTCTGGCTCATCCCTCGGCCGCCCCTGTCCTCGCTGGCGCCTCTCTTGTCGCCGTGCCCAAGCCTAAAGGGGGCATCCGCCCAATTGCCATTGGCGAGGTCCTGCGTCGTTTGACTGGCAAGTGCTTAATGGCAGCTGTTCGTGATG